CACTACGAAGACTCTAAAGGTATGTCTTAACTAAAGGTATACCATTTCTAGGCGTGTTCCCCGAACTATACCTTTGGAGGTTGCTTACAGGTATACCTTCTTACGTGCGACGTTACCAGGTGCTGTCCATGAATGTGGTGCTGAATTGGTTGATATCGATGGATCGAGAATGGATTATTCACTCTATGCAGGGGCTGCTTCAGTGCGTTATGTGAGAAAGCGGTGTTCTTTATAAAAGAAGTGTTGATTTTAAATAAAGACACAAAACTCTTTCCTGTTAGAATGCAACGAACTTGCGTGAAACTTTTACTTTCACTTTGCAACATACATCATGTCAGGGAAAGCTTATTCACAGCCATATCACCCTGCAGTCCAAGACTGGTTACCTACTGAAGCTAAGCAGGGTTGAGGCTGGTCAGTACCTGGATGGGAGACCTCCTGGGAAAACAAGGTTGCTGTTGGAAGAGGTGTTAGTGAGGCCAGCAGGCGGTGCTCACCCTGTGGTCTGTGTGGGTCCTAATGCCCCAGTATAGTGATGGGGACACTATACAGTAAAAAGCACCGTCCTTCGGATGAGACGTTAAACCGAGGTCTTAACTTCTCTGTGGTCAGCGCCAGCAGCTGAATTTTGGGGTTGAGGGGGTAGAGCAATAGCTCCATCGAGTTTGTCTGACCAACAAGATCTAAAAGCTGCTGAATTTGCTGCTGTGGCAGGTGATTTTTTTTAAGAATTGCAGCTTCTTACGTAGTAGCTAGGAGACTAAAGTTTTAGAGCACATGATGGCTCCACGGACGGCACCGTCTTTAATTTAGCTCAACCATTCCCTGCATTGCTGCCATAGTTTGACCAAACTCCCCCTTCAGCCCCGAAATTCGCCTGCTGGTGGCTCTTCTCTTTCTCTTATTTTTCTCTGCCATATAGCTGTCGATGAAGGCATACTGCCAGTTAGTGATATGCCTGATTTTTGACATTTGTGCACGAGGTTGCGGGTTTCAAAATTATATAAAAGATCCAGGGTTGGATTTAGTTTGCAATGTGGTTTATTTTTATAAGATCGCATGATTCCTGATAAATGCCATTGCAACTATTTCTGAAGTGCTTTTTGTTAGAAAGCAATCTTACCAGAATGTTTTATGTTGGACTTGTGTAGGCCTATGTTTTTTTTATTTTTTCTTTTGTTAAAAGCAGTGACTCCTGTAGGTTTTTTTTTCTTTGAGTTTTATGTGATGACCACTGGGTGGTGCTCTGGGCATTTATTTTTCTTTCCTGATTTTGTTCCCTGACGTGTTGCATGTTGCAAAGGGAAAGTAACATTTTCACGCAAGTTCGTTACATTCTAACATGGAGTTTTGTGGCTTTACTTAAAATCAACACTTCTTTTATAAAGATCTTTCTCACATAATGCACTGAAGCAGCCCCTGCATAGAGTGAATAATCCATTCTCGATCCATCGATAGCAACCAATTCAGCACCAACCTCATGGACAGCACCTGGTAACGGGGAACACACCTGGAAATGGTATACCTTTAGTTAAGATATACCTTTAGAGTCTTCGTAGTGCACTAAGAGGCAACGTTATCGGGAAACGCACACCAGTGATCTAATGTATTGTGACTTCTTTAATTCTTTAATGTCTTTAATTTTCTCCAAAAACTGTAAAGTAAAGTCCAGTGAAAGTTGACACGGACAGAGTCATGGTCATCCTGAAGAACAATGTATTGAAATTTTCATGTTAACTCTGAAGGAAGTTTAATAATGGCTGTATAAATGTCAAGGAATGGCCAATATAATAATGCATTTTGTCAGACTTTGCCTTTAATTTCCTCGCAAAATCTACAAAATCTACAAAATCTACCCAATGAAAGTTGACACGGACAGAGTCATGATCATCCTGAAGAAGAATGTATTGAAATTTTCATGTTAACTCTGAAGGAATTTGAATAATTCTGGTGGGAAAAGAAGGAATTGATCAATGTTATAATGCATTTTGTCAGATTTTGCCTTTAATTTTCTCCAAAACTCTACAGTAAAACCCATTGAAAGTTGACATGAACAGAGTCTTGCGTGTCCTGAAGAAGAATTAATTGAAATTTTCATGTTAACTCTGGAGGAATTTTAATAATGCCTGTAGAAAAAGCAGGAATTGATCAGTGCTACAATGCATTTTGACAGACTTTCCCTTTCATTTTCTGTAAACTTCTACAGTAAAATCCAGTGAAAGTTGACATAGACAGAGTCTTGGGTGTCCTGAAGAAGAATGAATTGAAAATTTCATGTTAACTCTGAAGGAATTTTAATAATGCCTGCAGAAATATCAAGAAATGGTCAATAATATAATGCATTTTGTCAGACTTTGCCTTTAATTTTCTCCCAAATTCTACAGTAAAACCCAGTCAAAGTTGACATGGACAGAGTCTTGGCTGTCCTGAAGAAGAATTAATTGAAATTTTCATGTTAACTCCGAAGCAATTTTAATAATGCCAGTAGAAAAAGCAGGAATTGATCAGTGCTATAATGCATTGTGACAGACTTTTCCTTTAATTTTCTGCTAAATTCTACAGTCAAATCCAGTGAAAGTTGACATAGACATAGTCTTGGGCGTTCTGAAGAAGAATGAATATACATTTTCATGTTAACTCTGAAGGAATTTGAATAATGTCTGTGTAAATGTCAAGGAATGGTCAGTGCTATAATTCATTGTGACGGACGTTGACTTCAATTTTCTTCAAAATTCGACAGTAAAACCAAGGTAAATTTGACACACATGGTCGTTCTGAAAAGAATTAATTGAAATTTTCATTAACTCTGAAGGAATTTGAATAATGCATGTAGAAAAAAGTAGGAAATATCAGTGTTATAATGTATTTTAACAGACTTTATTTTTGTGGAAAACTCCACAGTATAATATTAATAATATAAATGTATCTTTTATAATGTCCAATATTAATATGCTTGTTAATAGTGTTTTTGGGCACATTTAATTAATAACCGCTTTGAGTATCCGTACTGTAATACCACAAATAGACGTGCAGCAGAATCCAGGTGGCGGCTGGCTTGACCGGGTGTTCACAGATGGTGGCTCACTTGACCGCGGTTCATATATTGCAGAGTGTTAATTTACATTTAACCAGATTAATATGGAGAGGCACTCTCATATAGACCTTCGTTTATGTGTTTTTGACTTTCACAACACGGTACACGACGTGAGAACAGTTTGCTATTTAGGTTTGTACGTTAGCATGGACTCACTAACTTTAATGGTAACGTTAGCTAGTTTTAGCCAGACATACCTTGCTGAAGCACAAGATGACATTAACGTTCTGCTTGAGCAGATGAAAAGAGTAACTTAATGAGAGTATGACAATCAGAAAATGAACGTTTTCGTCTTCATTGTGATTGGGGTTGAATGCTTAGGGACATTTTGCTCTGTTTTGGTTGGATTTAGTAAATGGAATAAAATTAATTCCATTGATTATCCTCTCAGGATACCTGGAATCACTGTTACAAGTACCGTAGGCACATCGTTTTTCCATTTTCGTATCATAAACACCATTGAACCGATGCGAGCTTCGGATCTTCCAATGTTTCTCTATGGCGCTGAAACCTACAGATGTCTGAGTTCCGCTCCCCGTGCAACTGATTCTCGACTGCCATTGGCTCATCTGCATTCGAGGGGAGGGGCTTTCCGATAGGTCAATTATATGGACAGAGAAGGGTATAACTGCAGCCTGCAAATGGGGGCGGGAACTCCAAAACGGGGTGGGAGGTCCAAAATAGGGTGTGGCTTCCTCCCATTGACAGACAGGCACATGACACGCATGCGCAATTTTTTCCCCCAATCCACTTCAGTGCAAATTCTGCCCCACAGCTGATTCTAAAGTTTTTATTGGTTGTGTCAATTAAAGTGTTGATTTCCTACACTTTGCTACAAAATATGCTAACCCCTAAACCTACCCAACACCTGACCCTAACCTTAAACAGTGAAATTGACTGCACTGCGGGATTGGCGCTGAATAGCGTGGTAAAGAAAGTTGCAGTTCAGGAGATAAACAGTTAATAAGATTATGCGATATGAGACTGTTCCGTAACTCCCCAACCGGACCTCACCGGACAATGGCACCTTTTTAGTTACACCCAGCGTCACACCCCTTCCTACCCTGCGAATTTCGTGCCCCGGGATGCCCCCGTTGCTTGGAACAACGCGATAGAGTAAAATCTTTCCCCAGCTCCTGGGTGATACCCGTTTATATCATGAAGCAGAGGTTCAAACTCTAGTCCGAACACCATTGGCCACGAGCTTTGGGCTCTGCTCTCACGGAGAATATTTATTTATATAGCATATTTTATTTTAGATCAACTAGAAACCATGTTTAATTTATAAAGTTTTATTTTGAAATGTAAGTCAATAACAATTGGCCGAAGCCAGAGCCAATGGTGAAAATCTTTGCGCGAAGAGACCCTGCCCCATTTTGGAGGTTCTGCCCACTTTTGGGGTTCAAAAAGTGGGCACTCCACTTTTCTTTCTTGTCCATACCTACTTGTATGGACAAGAAAGAAAAAGAAAGAAGGGCATATGACATTAGAACAACACAAGGGTGAATAAATGACAATTAAAATTTTTGGGTGAAATACGCTTTAAACAATCCCTTAAAGTATGTAGTTTAGATTCCTTTTATTTATGACATATTTATGTGTCATTTATGTCATATTTTTATGTCACTCCTATTTTAAAATAAAGTATTGTTTCATCAATCAGGTATAGGTCTGTTTTACTCATGGCCACAAGATAAGGATTATTATGCTTATTTTGACGAAATTATCTTATGGCCTCAAAATAATATATTTTGGCCAAGATATATTATCACATTCCCATAAGTTAATATGATATGGTCACAACAAAATTTTGCAAACCAAACCAAACCTGTCCCTTCCAAGGCCCCATAGCAATGCATATAGCATTTGATAAATGGCAATGTATCTGATGTGTTCAAAAACAAACCTGTGGAAAACAGCAAAACAGTCATGACAGACAGAGGTGTGGTTGTCAAATGGGAAGAGAATGTAACCCTCTTTACACAATTCACACATGAAGCCTTTGGCCTGGCATTTCTGATGGTACAAAGACAGAGTTAAGACAAAAAAAGACGTTGGCACAGTAGCACACTCACACATAGCTAAACTAATTTTACCTTAGAGGCTGCTTACTTTCAAGGGGTCATACCATGATCACATTAGACATATAATTCAGAGTTGAGCTGAAATTGCTGGGGTGGTTTGTTTTACAGGTGACACTTTAGTATAGGAACCGATTCTCACTATTATCTAGGTGCTTATTGGCATGCCTATTAATAACACATTGGCTGTTTATTAGTACTTATAAAGCGCATATTCTGCATGACCATATTCTACATCCCTAATCCTACCTAATACCTAAACTTAACAACTACCTTACTAACTATTAATAAGCAGCAAATAAGGAGTTTATAGAGGCAAAAGTCATAGTTAATGGTTTGTTAATAGCGAGAATTGGACCTTAAAATAAAGTATGACCGTTTTACACAACACAAACACTGAAAATGATAAATTTCTAGTCATTAAATATTTTAGGACTAATTTATATATATATAGATATTTACACACACACACATATATATGTCCTATACCCACAAACCTACCTCACAGTCCAGTTTAATATGTTTCGCAAAAGTTGTGTGAATTTCAGTAAGGGAACAGCTGAGACGCCCACTGGAGGTGTCAATCAGATCCTGTAGAGTGTACATGTCATCATTCTCCACAAAGTGCTGGCGATCTTGAAGCTGTGACATTACAATTATACCATATGTTATTTTAAAATCCACCATCTTTACCCTAATCCCACATAATTTATTTAGAGTTCAAAAATTCAAGTAGTTTATACAGTACACAAGATCACAGATAATTAACACAGACAAAGAAACGTCTTGGTTATGTATGTAACCCTTGTTCCCTGATGGAGGGAATGGAGACATTATGTCGTGACAACATAGGTATTGGGAGCCCAGATTCTCTATGATTAAGAGAAAATGCCAATGAAATTTGGCTAGTGGATTTTGCATGCTGAGCCACTCAATGTGCATATGGGTATAAATAGGCGACAGGTGCATCTACTCATCAGATTTTATGCTGAGGAGCCGAGAACGTGTCCCTGGCTACCAGCGATGGTTCGAGGTTGTGACATAATGTCTCTGTTCCCTCCAACAGGGAATGAGGGTTACATTCGTAACCAAGACGTTCCCTTTCTGTCGTTCACTACGACTTATGTCGTGACGACATAGGGGTCTATGTTAAGCACAAATGTTGGCAAGCAGCAGCATGTCAGACAAATTTAATGCAAAGTTCTTAACCTTCCCAACGCCCCAGCGCAAATATGCTGACCATGGTGCCCAAAGGGACCAGAGGTGAGTACATTGCTTCTGGAGATAGTAATGCCGCTGTTCCTGAACACAGAAATCTTTTCCAGAAGAGAGACTGACAGAACGTGTCTGTCAAGGGAAGACACGGGTTCACCAAGAGGGAAACCTTACCGTGGAAGAATACACATATGGGATTCGCCCACAGGTAATCAAGCCATATGGACAACTGGGCTGACCTGGGACCCGGGCATGCTAACACGATAATGGGCCTGGTGTCAGATTGTCCCTCGAGTCTGACTGCCAGGGGTGCTGGAGGGCGGTTCATATATTGCAGAGTGTTAATTTACATTTAACCAGATTAATATGGAGAGGCACTCTCATATAGACCTTCGTTTATGTGTTTTTGACTTTCACAACACGGTACACGACGTGAGAACAGTTTGCTATTTAGGTTTGTACGTTAGCATGGACTCACTAACTTTAATGGTAACGTTAGCTAGTTTTAGCCAGACATACCTTGCTGAAGCACAAGATGACATTAACGTTCTGCTTGAGCAGATGAAAAGAGTAACTTAATGAGAGTATGACAATCAGAAAATGAACGTTTTCGTCTTCATTGTGATTGGGGTTGAATGCTTAGGGACATTTTGCTCTGTTTTGGTTGGATTTAGTAAATGGAATAAAATTAATTCCATTGATTATCCTCTCAGGATACCTGGAATCACTGTTACAAGTACCGTAGGCACATCGTTTTTCCATTTTCGTATCATAAACACCATTGAACCGATGCGAGCTTCGGATCTTCCAATGTTTCTCTATGGCGCTGAAACCTACAGATGTCTGAGTTCCGCTCCCCGTGCAACTGATTCTCGACTGCCATTGGCTCATCTGCATTCGAGGGGAGGGGCTTTCCGATAGGTCAATTATATGGACAGAGAAGGGTATAACTGCAGCCTGCAAATGGGGGCGGGAACTCCAAAACGGGGTGGGAGGTCCAAAATAGGGTGTGGCTTCCTCCCATTGACAGACAGGCACATGACACGCATGCGCAATTTTTTCCCCCAATCCACTTCAGTGCAAATTCTGCCCCACAGCTGATTCTAAAGTTTTTATTGGTTGTGTCAATTAAAGTGTTGATTTCCTACACTTTGCTACAAAATATGCTAACCCCTAAACCTACCCAACACCTGACCCTAACCTTAAACAGTGAAATTGACTGCACTGCGGGATTGGCGCTGAATAGCGTGGTAAAGAAAGTTGCAGTTCAGGAGATAAACAGTTAATAAGATTATGCGATATGAGACTGTTCCGTAACTCCCCAACCGGACCTCACCGGACAATGGCACCTTTTTAGTTACACACGCATGCGCAATTTTTTCCCCCAATCCACTTCAGTGCAAATTCTGCCCCACAGCTGATTCTAAAGTTTTTATTGGTTGTGTCAATTAAAGTGTTGATTTCCTACACTTTGCTACAAAATATGCTAACCCCTAAACCTACCCAACACCTGACCCTAACCTTAAACAGTGAAATTGACTGCACTGCGGGATTGGCGCTGAATAGCGTGGTAAAGAAAGTTGCAGTTCAGGAGATAAACAGTTAATAAGATTATGCGATATGAGACTGTTCCGTAACTCCCCAACCGGACCTCACCGGACAATGGCACCTTTTTAGTTACACCCAGCGTCACACCCCTTCCTACCCTGCGAATTTCGTGCCCCGGGATGCCCCCGTTGCTTGGAACAACGCGATAGAGTAAAATCTTTCCCCAGCTCCTGGGTGATACCCGTTTATATCATGAAGCAGAGGTTCAAACTCTAGTCCGAACACCATTGGCCACGAGCTTTGGGCTCTGCTCTCACGGAGAATATTTATTTATATAGCATATTTTATTTTAGATCAACTAGAAACCATGTTTAATTTATAAAGTTTTATTTTGAAATGTAAGTCAATAACAATTGGCCGAAGCCAGAGCCAATGGTGAAAATCTTTGCGCGAAGAGACCCTGCCCCATTTTGGAGGTTCTGCCCACTTTTGGGGTTCAAAAAGTGGGCACTCCACTTTTCTTTCTTGTCCATACCTACTTGTATGGACAAGAAAGAAAAAGAAAGAAGGGCATATGACATTAGAACAACACAAGGGTGAATAAATGACAATTAAAATTTTTGGGTGAAATACGCTTTAAACAATCCCTTAAAGTATGTAGTTTAGATTCCTTTTATTTATGACATATTTATGTGTCATTTATGTCATATTTTTATGTCACTCCTATTTTAAAATAAAGTATTGTTTCATCAATCAGGTATAGGTCTGTTTTACTCATGGCCACAAGATAAGGATTATTATGCTTATTTTGACGAAATTATCTTATGGCCTCAAAATAATATATTTTGGCCAAGATATATTATCACATTCCCATAAGTTAATATGATATGGTCACAACAAAATTTTGCAAACCAAACCAAACCTGTCCCTTCCAAGGCCCCATAGCAATGCATATAGCATTTGATAAATGGCAATGTATCTGATGTGTTCAAAAACAAACCTGTGGAAAACAGCAAAACAGTCATGACAGACAGAGGTGTGGTTGTCAAATGGGAAGAGAATGTAACCCTCTTTACACAATTCACACATGAAGCCTTTGGCCTGGCATTTCTGATGGTACAAAGACAGAGTTAAGACAAAAAAAGACGTTGGCACAGTAGCACACTCACACATAGCTAAACTAATTTTACCTTAGAGGCTGCTTACTTTCAAGGGGTCATACCATGATCACATTAGACATATAATTCAGAGTTGAGCTGAAATTGCTGGGGTGGTTTGTTTTACAGGTGACACTTTAGTATAGGAACCGATTCTCACTATTATCTAGGTGCTTATTGGCATGCCTATTAATAACACATTGGCTGTTTATTAGTACTTATAAAGCGCATATTCTGCATGACCATATTCTACATCCCTAATCCTACCTAATACCTAAACTTAACAACTACCTTACTAACTATTAATAAGCAGCAAATAAGGAGTTTATAGAGGCAAAAGTCATAGTTAATGGTTTGTTAATAGCGAGAATTGGACCTTAAAATAAAGTATGACCGTTTTACACAACACAAACACTGAAAATGATAAATTAAATAAATGATTAAATATTTTAGGACTAATTTATATATATATAGATATTTACACACACACACATATATATGTCCTATACCCACAAACCTACCTCACAGTCCAGTTTAATATGTTTCGCAAAAGTTGTGTGAATTTCAGTAAGGGAACAGCTGAGACGCCCACTGGAGGTGTCAATCAGATCCTGTAGAGTGTACATGTCATCATTCTCCACAAAGTGCTGGCGATCTTGAAGCTGTGACATTACAATTATACCATATGTTATTTTAAAATCCACCATCTTTACCCTAATCCCACATAATTTATTTAGAGTTCAAAAATTCAAGTAGTTTATACAGTACACAAGATCACAGATAATTAACACAGACAAAGAAACGTCTTGGTTATGTATGTAACCCTTGTTCCCTGATGGAGGGAATGGAGACATTATGTCGTGACAACATAGGTATTGGGAGCCCAGATTCTCTATGATTAAGAGAAAATGCCAATGAAATTTGGCTAGTGGATTTTGCATGCTGAGCCACTCAATGTGCATATGGGTATAAATAGGCGACAGGTGCATCTACTCATCAGATTTTATGCTGAGGAGCCGAGAACGTGTCCCTGGCTACCAGCGATGGTTCGAGGTTGTGACATAATGTCTCTGTTCCCTCCAACAGGGAATGAGGGTTACATTCGTAACCAAGACGTTCCCTTTCTGTCGTTCACTACGACTTATGTCGTGACGACATAGGGGTCTATGTTAAGCACAAATGTTGGCAAGCAGCAGCATGTCAGACAAATTTAATGCAAAGTTCTTAACCTTCCCAACGCCCCAGCGCAAATATGCTGACCATGGTGCCCAAAGGGACCAGAGGTGAGTACATTGCTTCTGGAGATAGTAATGCCGCTGTTCCTGAACACAGAAATCTTTTCCAGAAGAGAGACTGACAGAACGTGTCTGTCAAGGGAAGACACGGGTTCACCAAGAGGGAAACCTTACCGTGGAAGAATACACATATGGGATTCGCCCACAGGTAATCAAGCCATATGGACAACTGGGCTGACCTGGGACCCGGGCATGCTAACACGATAATGGGCCTGGTGTCAGATTGTCCCTCGAGTCTGACTGCCAGGGGTGCTGGAGGATGCTTGACTAGGGTTCGCCATCAGGGAACTCGACTGGGAGAGAAAGGCTCTCGCATCCCCGTGTGAGGGGGAATGGCGCAGCAAGCATGACACAGACCAGTCCTTCCCACCAATTACCTATTACCCAACACACGGGAAGAAACCGGCTTGACGCAGAGGCTGTTCGGTGTCGCCCA